TAATGTTCAGGAAGCAGTCTCCTGTACCGATTTAATTCAAGGGTATTTCCCACTTTGTCTTCTAATAGGTTCAGTATAGCTGGATTTATGTTGAGATCTTTGATCCATTTTGACTTAAGTTTTGTGCAAGGCGATAGGCTTGGGTCTAACTGCAGTCTTCTACATGTCTGCAACCACTTATGCCAGCACCATTTGTTGAAGATGTTCTCTTTGTTCCAGCGTATATATTTGGATTGTTTGTCAAAAATCAGGTGTTTATAGGTGTGTGGGTTAATATCAGGGGTTTCAATTCTATTCCATTGGTCTACCTGTCTATTTTTGTGCCAATACCAAGCTGTTTTCAGGACTATAGCTCTGTAATAGAGCTTGAAGTCAGGGATGGTGATGCCTCCAGAAGTTCCTGTATTGTACAGGGTTGTTTTGGCTATCCTGGGTCTTTTGTTTCTCCATATAAAGTTGAGAATTGTTCTTTCAAGGTCTGTGAAGAATTGTGTTGGTATTTTGATGGGGATTGCATCCATCCATCTTAAACTATGGATTTTCACTGCTGAGGAACAACTGGGGTCAACTGGAGACCTCTGCTTGAACCCAGATGTGAGAACAGGAGTGTTTCAGAACCTGGAAGGCAGAGGAACAAACTGGTGGAAGGGAGGGTTCAGGCACCTGGTGGGAAACGGCCAGCTGAAGCCTGTGTTCTAGAAACCATCCGTTTCCCCTGAAACGCTATTAACACCCCCATTGCTGGGCCATGCCTAGAGTCTTGATTAAGTAAATCTTCAAGAGATCTGAAAATACACATTTCTAACTAGTTCCCAGGTGCTGCATGTGCTCAGGTTCAGAAACTTTGAAGTAAAAAACGCTGGGAATGGGGGGGGGGGTTGCTTCAGCAGCACATATACTAAAAAACTGGAACAATACAGAGATTATCATGGCCCCTGAATAAGGGTGACTCATAAATTCATGAATCGTTCCATATTTTTAAAAAGTGTGTGTGTGTGTGTGTGTGTGGGTACAGAAAGTTCTGGAAAGAAAGATGATTTCTGTAACTCAGAAAGTGGGATCTGTAGCTGACAACATGCTGTACTGCAGCTTCCAGAGTTTCCTCTTACTTCTGTGAGCTTGCACTCAAGAAAAACAGGGCTAATAAGGAGCCTGCAAAGAAACAGCATAAAAGCCTGGGGCCCAAGGTCCTTCCCCACTTCCCAGCAGGGTTTCAGTACTAAGCTTCATCTCTACCCATCCCTGATCAGCTCCAAAGGCAAAGTTTAGAGATGAGCTATGTTGAGCAAGTCCTTTTCCCCACCACTCCCAGGTTTCCCCACCAGTAATAATGCTGGAGACCAATTTAGATGTTCAAGGTGCCATCCACTATCGGTCCCCATAGAACAACACTGTCTCACAGCCAAAAGAACTCAGACACTTAAGTTGTCATTTGGAATGTAATCTGACACAATCCCTGGAAGGGAATCTGGCAATCAAATCAAAATATACAATGCCCATATTCTTTGATTTCATAGCTCCATATCTAGGAACTGAGTCTGTAGAAACAATGTTTGCTGGGCATGGTGGCACAAGTAATCCTAGAACTTTGGGAGCAGAGGCAGAAAAGATCAAAACCAACCTGGGATACATAGAGCCTGTCTCAAAACAAAAACAAAATACCTGTGCTTCTGTGCAAATGTAAGGTTATTCAATGACTTAATAAGCTTTTCATTTTATAACTAAATACCTGAGGTAATTAATTTATGAAGAGAAAAAAAAAGGTTACTTTGGATTCTAGTTCAAGAGTGAGGGCCTTGTGTCTTGAATGTGAAATGTGTTAGTCTGCAGATGGTGACATCATTTGGGAAAATTATGGAACTTTTAGGAGGTGGAGTCTTACTGGAGGAAATGGGTCACAATGTCTCTGAAGTCATGGGCATTAGGAATGCACACAGTGAACATGCATACATACATACAAGTAAAACACTCCATATATACAAAATAAAAATAAACCAATCAGTTTTAAAGAAGAGGAAAAGGAAAAATAATGACTGGGGTAGGGATTTTTGCTAAGTGGTGACTTTACAAATCACAAATTTCTTAAAAGACAGGGTTTCCGTTGTCTTGTTTAACCCTTTGATAGAAGAGATAACACATCTCATTTAAAGTTCTGTTGGGTAGATTGTCTCCTTACTCTGTTACTGATGCTTCATCTGGAATGAATAGATGTTTGTTCACATATCCCCAGGAAATGTCACACCATAGCTCCTAATTACCTTCTTTTAAATGATGAAATATAGTTTAGGGAAGACCACATAGATGCTACCTAGAGAAAGTGGATAGAAAAACAATCTTTTGCCATAGCTGTAAGTCATTATATTGGGAGCTGTCCTCACTGTCAACTGTTCACGTATGTATTCATACATGTGCTGTTGTTACATGTACGTGCAAACATTTGTGTGTTAGTGTCTGAACAGCCATGTAGAGACCAGAGAACAACCTTGGCCATTCTTCCTTAGGTTCTGACTACCTTGCTTTTTGAGATAAAAATCTCCCCCTGGCTTGGGGCTTATCAAGTAGACAAGACAGGTTGACAAGTTAGCCCCAGAAATCTACCTGCCACTTCGTCTTCAGTCCTGGAACTATACAAGTCTGTGCCACTTTGCCTGGCTTTTTTATGAGGTTCTGGGAAGTCAGACTCAGTTTCTTGTTACCAACGCACTATGCTCCCTATCCTCCAATCAAAAGGTCCATTGTCGATACAAGGCCAGCTGTGTCTGCTTGTGACTCAGCACCATAGCTGGGCTTGTTGACTGAAAGATAGGGGTTGGGTAGATCATTGATTGGATCCTCATCTAAGTGTTCATCCATTCCTCCCAGCCCTGTATACATAATTCAGTTTTAATTGCACATGGCGTCAGGGTCTCAGGAAAGTGCTAGAGTACATAGGCTGAAGAGGCAGTGGGAAAGGGCTCCATCTATGTGGCCATTGGGGAGCCATCATCCATGCTCCATAAGACCTTCCTCTCAGGTTGCTTCAGGATCACCACACTCTGGCCCATAACCCCTCACCCATACTCTGTTCAGTAAGTCTAATAAGTTTATTGGTTCTCAGAGTGAACTTGGCTGGAATCATACTTTGGTTTGTCGTTGGAAGAAGAGAGGAAAAGTTTATATCTCTTCAGGGAGAAAATTCTCACAACAGTGCAGGGCCCAGCATGTTGCTGACTGAGCTATTGCATCTGCCCTGCGCCCAAATTTTATGCAAATCTTTTGCAAGTTTTATGGGGAAAGGCTTTAAACTATATTAAGGGAGAAAAGCTACATTGAATATTAGGATTCTGTGGCCATGAATATAAACCTAGAGGGAGAAATGGAAAAAAATGTCTTCAGGCTAAGAAAGCTAGATGAAGTAATTTGGAAGCAGTAGTAGCTAAATGCTAAAAAATAAGGTGCTAGATCACAGTGTAAATAGGATGAAAAGGTATGCAGTATAGAAAGTGACCTGAGTGAGGCAGAAACCATCCCCCGGGAACAGTAAAGATACTGAGATCCCGTAAAGAAAACCATCTATCAATCTGGAACAGACCACTGAATGGACAATTCCTCTTTGTGTCTTCAGTGAGACTGTGAGTTCCTGCAAGACAAGAGCTGGTTCTTTGAAAAAACAAAACAAAACAAAACAAAACAGGGCCTTAATGAGAACTCATTGTACAAATAAAGAGCATTCCACATTATTAGGTATTATGTGTTATTAATTGAATTTTATTGTTTTTCACACCTGAAAAAATATTTAAAGTTAGTACCCCAAATATATACATAAAATGTTCAGGTCATATAACATTACATTGAATGTGAAGGCGTCAACTGAAAAAAAAAACATCTTCCTTGGCTTCCTTCCTAGAGCATTCATTATTTATACAAATGTTTCCTTTATATCTGCAAACCTGACTGTAACTACAAAGGTACATGTGTCGTGTAATTGCTCAAGATCAGGAGCTTTGGAATTAGATATGCCTAAGTTTGAATCCATCCATGACTTAGTGCCGTGACCTTGAGAAAGTCACTTAACCTCTTATTGGCTCAAATTTCTTAGGGAGATTAAAATAATGATAAAAAATATACTTCAAGATTAACTAGAATAATAAATCAGTTGGGCTGGACAGATGGATCAGAGGCTAAGAGCACTGGCTGCTCTTCTAGAGGTCTTGAGTTCAATTCCCAGCAACCACATGGTGTCTCACAACCATCTGTAATGAGATCTGGTGTCCTCTTGTGGCCTGCAGGCAGAACACTAGATCCATAATCAACAAATAAACCTTAAAAAAAAAACAGTTAACACTTAGGATGGTCCTACTACATATATAAATATATATATATATACATATATATCAATACTAACAATAGTATATGTATATATTTTTAAAAAGATTTATTTATTCTTATTTTATATGTATGGTGTTTGCTTGCATGTTACTCGTGTACCATACTCATGCAATACCCATAGAGGCCAGAAGAGGACGTGAGATCCCCTGGGGTTGTGTCTACAGCTGGTTATGAGCCCTCATGTGGGTGCTGAGATAAAACTTGGGTCTTTGGCAAAAGCAACAAGTGCTCTTACCTACTGGGACATCTCTTCAGCCCCTTCAAACTCACAAAGATCTACCCACCTCTGCCTCCCAAGTACTCCATCAGGCCTGGCATTTGTTTTTCTATGTAGCAAAATATTACAAATATGTAGTCATACGTGCAGAGCAATTCATTCTTTTGATGGCTATATTGCATTTTAATGTATGGCTCTACATAAGCAACACCCTGCATAAGTGTTCCTAATATTTTATCACTATAAATAACCACAACTCTGCTGCATAGAAAGATTTTAATAGGCTTGTGTGTGAGCGTGGGCATGGCATGAAGGGCAAAGGATAACTTCCTAGAATCAGTTCTTTCCTTCCACCACGGTTTCTGGGAAGCAAATTCAGATGGTCAGACTTGAGTGACTGCTGCTTCCACCCATGAGCCATCACACTCCCCACCCCGTTTTCATCTCTCCTTTTCATTTTGTATGTGTTTGTGTGTATGCTAGTGTGTGGCGAGTATGAGAATTTAAGTATTTGATATACATTCCTAAAAGTGGAATTCATAGATCAAAGTGCATGAAATAAAGGAATTAAAATATTGTGTTTAAAAATTGTCAAGCTGTCTTTTTAAACATTTTTAAAATATCTATTTTATGTGCATGAATGCTTACCTGTATATCTGTGCAACATATGTGTGCCTGATACCTGAGGAGATCAGGGGTGGGTGTGAGATCCTCTGGAACTGGAGTCGCAGATGGTTGTGAGCTACCCTGTGGGTACTGGAAACTGAAACTGGATCCTCTGCAAGAGCAGCCAGTGCTTTTTACCACTGGGGCATTTCTCTAACCCCCAATTGTCCTTCTAAAGAGGTCTACGACTTTCTACTTTCACCAGCTAACATACTTTGTTTTGATTGTATACAATTAACTTATCTTAAATGTCCAAGTAGTTCCAAAGCTAAGGACTATACCTTCCTAGTTCTACATTTTAGGTCTTTATCTTCCTGTAATTTATAAGCAACCGAGGATTTAGCAACCACTATTCAACAAATATTCAGACACATGGACTGTAGATAATTGTTAGTGCTACCAGCAGATAGGAAGGGATGAAATACTGGTGTCTCATGGCCTTTCTGATGACTGATATGGAAGAATGTTTGGAATGAAAATCATCTGAGTTTGAGAGACCAGTGTCTGCACCTACATTTTTGTTTTCTGTGACAGGCACACTCATTTAATGGTCAAGAATCCTTCTTTATGGAGCCTTACTAGTCATCTCTTTAACCCAGTGTGTGATAAAGTTTGCTTGGCAGTCCCCAGACGAAGGTAGGAAACAGCTGTACCTCTTGGCCAGAAGCTGGTCACCATCACCACGCAGGAAATCTACTTTATTGGTAGTTAAGGCCTCTACGCCCTTCG